AATACTACAATATTAAGAGTAAGTTTATCAAATCGAAGAACAGAAACTATCAATGTGTAACAGAGTAGGTTAAATAGCTCTTTTACCGCAATTAAGTGAAATGACTGACCAATAGGCACTGTACCAGTTTATAGGAATATGCTAGTGTTTTGTGACATTTTAAGTGACGTACACACACACACTTTGATCCTAGCATCAATCATGTCCATAATTATGAGACAAACACAGTTTCTAGTCATCTTTCTGATCGCCATGAGGCAAGCATTGGTTTATTTTGTTTTCAGCTTAACTTTGCATAATAATGCAAAACAAAAGTATGTCCGGATATGGGGGTCCAAAATAACAAATCCAATAAAGCCACAAGCCCCTCACATCTATACGTCTCAGGAAATTGGCTGCGCAGATTGGAATCAGGTGGCAGGATTCTGCAAACAAAAAGTAGGAAACAGAAAAATTAACACTGCAATGTAGAGAAAGAAAAATAAAATAAAACTACTTTGACATTAGAAAATGAAACAACTTGATGATAATTCTTACCTCTTCACCTCTCCTGTGTTTCACATGACCCAAACGACACCAACAAAACAAAGCTCATTAAGACATTAAAGAGACACTCAAAGAACCCCCTGAGAAGCAGGAGGACAAACTGTTTAACAACAGTTTGTTTATGGCCCGCTGGGCGGGGTTATGACAAATCATTGAGGGGTCAAGTTGAATCCCCTCTTTCTCGTAGTACTCGTGAATATAAGTCTCTTTTTCAGCATCGGTGACTACGTTTGAAGGGTACCCGGATGCTTGTTGTTTCAAACGCAAAAAACGTTTTAACTTATTCGCTAAACAATTTATCCGTCCTTACAGGAAAATGCCAAACTTCGTCGAGTTTGACTACAAACCCTTTCTCGTTCGCTTTTAAAAGCTCAATACTCACCCAGCACCCGGAAAGAGCCCTCTCATCATCTGTGTGCTCGCAACATGATGTCTGGTTTTCTGCATGCGCGCATGTTCGACATAGGGGAAACATGAGTTTACCGCCGCATCTGTAAGGTAGGACCGGGTGTAGTAATTTACGCGGAGGATACACGGTGGCTTTGATAAGACCGTAATAATTTTAAATCGGTTAAATCGTTAAAAATTATTTCCGGGTGACCAATCGGGTAACTCTTTCTTGATTGGCAGAACGGGTATAAAGACGTTAAATCAAGGTAACTGATTTTCTCACCATCGGACACTTTGTGATACAACTTATAAGCATTCGTGCGCCCACCAAAAAGAGCATCTCTTGGTTTCAGTCTCTCGGGAGCCGAATAAGTGCTCATAAATTCCATCACTGAAGCGTCTGTCTGCTTCATCTTAGCCCATTCACATTCCCAGACAACCTCTACCTTTATACCATGCACACTTTGTAGAATTTGGACCTTTTCGTCAGACCGAGTTCTGAGAAAACCGTACGGGACCGCCGACAGTCGGTGTAGGTCGCGGGGCTCGTAGCGACAATCATGTCCATGGTGGAAACAACCATTGAATTCGAGAGCATACTTCACTCCGCCCTGTTCATAATAACTGTCTAAGAAAAATTTACCGATTTGCATTTTACCATGATTCAGAGCATGATGAACGTCAACGTTTCTAGACTTTTTTTTACATACTCCAACCATTCGATCGACACACTTGAACGTCTTATTTTGTTGAATGTACGCATAATTGTGGGTTAGAGCCACAGTGTCCTCTACGAGATAATGAGTTTTGAAGACCCCTATCAACAACTTGCAAGAGTCGTGAAACTGAACGGATCAATTTGAGTACACTCTATGAAGGATTTGCGGTATTTAATACACGCTTCGCGTAGCAAGATAACATCGTTTTCGCCATAGTGGTACAACTCCTCCTTAAAGTTAAAGACTGAACGTGAAGCAGTAGTGTACCATGCATCGAACTTTACTCGATCTTTTTCAGATAGGTTGTCATACCCATCAAACTTTTTGTCTGGGATTGGGCCGATATAGTTCTCATTTTCTTTTCTATTGAAATGATGCGGAAAGTAGCCTTTGTCGTGGTGAGATTTAATGCCGCGGGCATCTTCGATAGAGCCATCGGGATGAATGATATGCTATCAATGTAGCGTTGTTCGAACACATCATCAATCATTAATATTAATTTACAACCTTGCATGATGATGTCCATTTTTAGACCGGCTTTGCAGTAATATTCGAGAATTAGAAAGAAGTCAAATCTTGACGCGTTATGAGCTATAAAACAGTAGCCTTTGTATTTGGGTTTTCTGAAATGCGTAATCATTTTTTCAACACAATCAATTCCTTCAGCTACAAATCTTGTACCGCGAAATGTTATCGCGCAGACAAAATTAGCCACGTGCCTGCCATTTTCATAACGAGTCTTTCAGGATTGATAAAACATTCATGAATCCCTGGGCTTGTAAGTTCTTCACGACATGCCCAACAACGGATCGGGGCGCACTCATGCGGTGACTTGCGCTTTTCGTAACTTCTACCGCATTCCTTGCAATATTTTATAACGTCACAAGGAGCTTGATCTCTTTCGAGCACCGGTTTCTTGTGAGCGTCGTAGCAGTAAGCCGATTTACAATAACGCAAACAATCGCGGCAATGGATGTTTTTTTTTAGGATGCTTGTAGCAATCACTGTCAAAACAGACATTACAGACGTAATCGCATTGGTGTTGGTTAAGCTTCGAGAACCCTTTATAGCAAAATTCACACACATAGCTAGCGCCTATGAAAGATGTCAAATTGAGAATCATGTAGTAATGTTCGTCTTGTAGATAAAGGAACAACGTTTTTAGGTGCGGCTCTTTGTTATTTACGTAGGTTTGTAACACGCCAGTGTTTAACCTATAAAAAACAACAATTTTTACATCAAACAGTCGTTCAAATCTATCAATGTCATGAAGACCTACTTCCTGTTGGATAGCAAGACCAGCTTTATTGTGTATGATCGCTGCTCGGTTTTCTAATTCACACTCAGGTTATTCAGGCTCTAGAAAATGTGCTAGACATATAGAGAAGCACAGTTTGTTTGATATGTTTGTAGGCATAAATAAGCTCGTCTTTTTTCTTTTGATTACCTGATCAAATGCCAAATCAGTGAGTTTACGACGAGCCCCACCGCCTCCTAGTCTGTTCATTAGAACATCAGCTTCAATCTCGACAGTTTCGTTAGCTGCTAACTGGTCATCGCTCTGTAGAATTTTCACAATTTGGTCCAAAAAAAGATTAACGTCATAATTATTACTCGGTGTTAAAACAGCGTTTACATCGGATTTCAGAGATGGGGTTCTAAGGCATAAATTGATAATGCTACCGTCACCGCCAATCTGTCTAGCAAATGACACTATGTCATCCATTGTATTGTGTAAACGTATGTGGTACGTCGCAAAATCCTGTGATCTTATTTCTCTCATGTTTAAAGACCTACGCAGCGATACGCTGTTGAAACGAGGTCTTGGTAAAACGTGATATTCATTTACACTACCACCTTCTCTCAACAATGTTTCAATGTTGATATGTTGCTGACCTAAAGGTTCAACATTAGCGGATGTTGATGGTTGCTGATCATTGTCGATGGCCGGGTGCGGTGTTTTGTTATTACACGTATCATTTATCGCCCGACTAGTCGACGGCTGTTCATGATCAATCGCGATAGCTGACGGCATACCGTTAGTGTCGTTATAAGGAGTGGCATCCTGAGTTAGTGCCCCACCGCCCTGTTCGGTAGATAATAACGTTTGTACGTAGTCTGATAAATTAAATTCATTTTCCTGATCCATCTCATCTAAATTTGGACTTAAAATAGAATCGAAGTTAAAAGCATCGTCCATAGAATTTAACTGCAAATCATCTAAAAATCTATCTGTGTCAGGATCGATAGACCTTTGTGGTGTAACAGATAATGATTGATCTGGTTGATTTTTGTGTGCATCATCTGAGGTATTTACGTTACCCATTACAGTTATTTTATTTACTTGATAATTATTTTGAATTTAAAATGTTTACTTTATTGTTTAAATTAATGATTACTTTTATTGAATATCGTACCATAGAATTTATTTAATCTTTTAGTTTTATTTATAGTTATGTTTAATTAATATTTTTTACAAACTTTTATTTTTATTGACTACTTAAAATTATTTTTATCCTTTATTTTAAAATGATTTTAATTTAATTTTTAATTTAATATTTATAATCAGATTTGTTTTAGTTTTATTAATATTTTAATTCTTTACTTTTTAATTTTTATGTTGATAATATTGCTTTTATTGATTGTTTATAGTTAAGGTTGTTTTAGTATTATTAATATTTTATTTTTTATTCTTTACTTTTAATTATTTAGGTATGACTTTTTAATTATTTTGAGTATTACTTTTAAATGTGTTACTATTTTTCTTTTATTTTATTTATTGATGTATACCTGACTTGTTTTATTAATTTTATTTTCAGGTATACTTTATGGTTATATTATTGTTTTTTTATTATTTTATATTTTATTCATATAAAACGGACACAATCTAAATCTATTTTATTAGAAAGGCATTAACAACAATATCAGTAATGGTATAAAAAGATAATTGTAAAGAAATACACAGTATGAATCGATAGAAATAACCAATTTAAAACTAAAACAGAAATAAACAAATCAGATATTTTTTAATGTATAACAACAACAATATTAACCAATATAGAATCAAATTTTAAAAAATGTAAAACAAACAAAATTAATTAAATTTTAAAATGTATAACTAAAGCAGAAATAAACAAATCAGATATTTTAAATGTGAAACTAAAAACAGTATTAAACAATATAGAATCGAATTTTAAAAAATGTAAAACAGAAAAAATTAAAGAAATAGAAATATTTTAATTGAATAACTAAAACAGTATTAATAATATTGAATAGAATTTATATCTTAATCAAAGCTGATTAAATGTATACATTGAAACAGTATGAAACAAACCAAATACAATGTTTAATTGTAAACTCAAATTGAAAATTTATAAATCTTTTAAAATGTACAATCAAAACAGAATTAAGAAAATTAATACAGGGGGGAAAATGTAAAATCTAACTAATCAAACAAAAGAGATCAGATATTACACACAAACTTAACACACTTGATCAAAATGAATAACTAAAACATAAGGCTAGCTAACATGAATCAAAATCTATTAATAAAAGTACATCGAGTAAATAAAAACAGTGTTATTGATGAATCATCTACGTATCAAAGCATTTTTAATTGAACAGAGTATTGAACCTAAAACACGGCGATCACGTTCAGCTTTGTTCAGTAAATTTAACACCTCAGTCAGTTTCTGATTTGCACCCCTTAATTGTTCATCTATATCACGCTGCTGGTGTAAAACATATTCAGATATCTGATCAATTTTTACCTGGTTTCGCTCCAGATATTGCAGAACTAGTTGATTAAAATCGGGTTCGACGATAGAGATGGGTCCTGTTAGTGTGAGATCATCGGCTTGTTGTGGTTGGAAAACGTGGTCGCCGCCATGATTGTTTTCTTCCTCCTTTTCTGGATCGTCTTCTTCTTCTACTACTAAAGACGGGTATGGTGTATATACAGGACTGCGACCGCCACCTAGCGTTGAGGCATAACCATCGCTGGATTCACCGTCATCCGACCAGCGTTGAGGGCTTGGTGCTAAAACATCATTAAAAAGAAAAAGTCTTTAATATATTGTTTAGAAAGTCGTAATTTTACATTTAATAAAATAAAACACTCACAATGTTGTGCCTCAATACTGCAATCAGAAGGTCCGTTGGGGCTGCTAGCCGGAGACGTGGGAACTAGAGGAGAAATGCATATATAATGTAATTTAAATTAACAGAAATGTGTACACATCGTATTCGATTAATGTATTTTCACAGTTAATAAAACACTTACGTTGTTGTATTTCAAAAACACTTTCCCGGGGTCCGAGCGGGCTGGTATCCGGTGATCGCGGAACTAGAGTAGAAGCAGATAGTGCATATTCAGAAAAAAATTCAAACTAGCTCTAGCATGAAACATTCAGCATGGACGGGCGCACAATTCAACAGTTATAAATTACATAGATTTAAACCGTATAAAACAAGATAATACATTACCTAAACGAGCTTCATCTTCATCATCACCATCATATTCAATATGTTGATCCTGTACGGCGGTATAAATTTTCAGCCTCTTGTTTGAAACAGGGCTAAAGTTATAATCAAGGCGTCTTTTTTCCGGCCGTGTCGAGCTGACCAACGTGGCTTGGACCAGATCGGTGGCTTCTTGCTCGTCCTCCGCTGTTAAATCAATGACCTCGATTATATCTGAAACATAAAAGTGAAAATATTGTATTAATAACGTTTAGATTATGTATAGCTGCACCATTCTAGAGATATTGAATGACCAAAATCACATGACTATTTCTGTGGCCTGTATGAAAAGCGCTCGTCTTCGGGCCACGTGTGTTTTCTAACCGGGTTTCGAATACACGCTAGGATACAATGGGCCTAGAATATTTCATTTAAATAAAACATTTACCTTCTTCCCTTTGTGCGTCAGCATTGGATCGAGGCAACACTACGAGATAAAGCAGAAATGTATGATTTAAAACAGCCGTTTATATAACATATAAAATATCCGTATAAAACAGTATTTACTCACAGAATTGGTTGATGGCTTCAAAAGCATCAATCTCTGATGAATTTAATTCTGTAACATAAAAGCTGATAGATTGAAAATATTTCAGGTCACAATATGACTGACGAAGTATTACTTAATGTAATGTATTACAGCATAATAATAATATTTTACTTACGACGAGCCATGCTTCCTCAAAAAGTTTAGTGTAGACTAGAAGAGATGGTGAAGGAGACGAATCACATCAACAGGCGATGACCAGATGAATAACTTTCCCCTGGTTGTCTGCTGTATTTAAGTATAAAGATGTGGGGGTCGTGCCCAGGTGTCGGCGAGAGATAAGAACCATAAAAACTACTCGAATGTATTACTTTCAGGATCACAAACACGGACTTTTATATAATAGTAGAAATAAAAATATCTTTTATATATTATGACAGCTAGTTTATAGATTATTTAATTATTAAACAGTATCGTTAAAACCTGATATAAAGTAATGGAATAACTCGAATGTAGGGTTAAATAAAGTATATATATATAGTCGTGTATGTATTATATCACGCATATCTTTAATATTGAATCATTTCACTTTATATGAATGAAATGAAAAACATTGTTATTTTCTATTATTGTAGTCGGATAATATATAATCAAGCATCCGGAAACATTTTATCAAGTAATATTACTGTTTTAATGGTGACATAAATACGTGGTTATTTTGATTAAAATATCAGATGTGTTTGGATAAAACATGGAATATGATAATTGTAGCTAATACGGTCTTTTAGACTATTGCATCCAAGTTGATGTAATACACTCGTTTATTATTTAGATAAGGTTAAACATATTTAACAGGGTGAAAATAAGGGGATAACCGAATTTATGTATTTGCTGAGTAAACACTAGATGGCGCTAGAGGTCTATGTTTGTGCTCAGAGACCCATGGCGCTTATCGGCATCAAAAGACCTTAGCGGAACCACCCGCTGTTCGTGTTCACAGATGTGTTCGGATCCTTACTGTGTTTATTACAACGGACAACGGCTATAACCTTATCGCAGAGACTTGTAGACGCTTCATGCAGCGCTGAGGAAATTAGTTCGACAGAGGTGCCGCACGACTGTTTGCATAACAGACAGCCAAATTCAAAGAAACGTAAACGCAGTTTAATGTTTGTATCAAATAAACTTAAATAGACTAAAACAAGACGTTCAATAATGATTATCTGACGTATGCCAGATTATTAACGTAAACAATATACAACCTACTTGCGGCAATCATTAAAATGATGTAAGAGGTTATCTTTAGCATGGATTAAAATATGTAACAACGGGGTATTGAGTTAAACATCATACCAAAATGATGATGGTTTATTAAATACAGTTTCTTGAATTCATTTATTTCTATATTGAGCCAAAATAATATAACATTCAAATCGTGTCAAGTGTTTATAATAATATTTAATATTCATTGTGTAGGAATATAAAATATTTGTAATTGAACATTTATTCGCAGGTTACATCATAGATAGATTAAAAAATTGTACGAGATAAACTTTACGTTAGAAATGGGTCTTACAACAGAGTTATTCGTTTATTGTTTTATTATAACATTTAATTAAAGTTAAATATTTGATATTCATTGTGTAGGAATATAAAATATTTGTAATTGAACATTTATTCACAGTTTGCATCATAGATAGATTAAAAAATTGCATGAGAATCTTTACATTACAAATGGATCATACAACACAGTTAATCGTTTATTGTTTTATTATAACATTGAAATAAAGTTAAACAACCATAATAATCACGATGGATGAATATTTCTCAATGTTGAACAATCATTATCTCATTCGCACAGATAGAGAGACATACAAACAGACCGAGAGCCGTACCAGAGAGACGCAAACAGATATAAAAACACACAGTCTCACGCTTTAACAGCCGGAAAGAGCTGGACTGAACGATAAACATGTTAACGGACGTTTGCTTTTTATTTAACATCCGATGTCATAATGTTCGCTTATCAGATACACGCATATGCCGTAACAGTCATCAGATGTATTTTATCTTTCTCAGGCACGCTTCAACCGGTTCAAATTTCCCGCACACACACCCACACAGGCACAGCCAGAGCCTCTCGACACACCCACACTCGAGCCGGAGAGACGCACACACATATGCCTGGTGCCAGTTCTGACCATAACAGAGCAAAGGCAACACACCGGTGCATATACCTTAGTTTATTAATTCTAACATAAGTTAATTACATTAACATAATTTAAAACAATAATGACAATATAATATTGTATAATTATAATAATTGAATTTATCAAAATAATTAAAATATATTACTGTAAATTAGTTAATGATATAGTTTTAATATCGGTTGATATAATTTATTTCATTAAAATCTATTTCATAATATTAAAATATCTAATTTTAATGTAATAATAACGGTATTATTAATTTAATTTAAATGATAAGAATCTAATTAACGGAATTATTAATTTGATTAAACTGATAAGAATCTAATTACCGGAATTATTAATTTAATTCAACTGATAAGAATCTAATTACCGGAATTATTAATTTAATTCAACTGATAAGAATCTAATTAACGGAAAGGGGCGGGGTTTACACCGGAAGCCCCGCCCTAAAAGGGGCGTGGCAGTCATCAATCAAACTTTTTGACACATGCCACCTTATATTTCTCTCTCTCTAATATAATATTTAAAAATGACATGTGGACTGACCGCGGGCCGCCAGCAGACACTTATTTAAAACCAGCGGTCCGATGGCGGACCACCGTCGGAAAAGCGGCGGGAGCCGATGGTGGGCCGCTGGATTAACGATGAGCAAATTGACGGTGGACCGCGGGCGGCGCCCGCCAGAGGACCGCCGACTTTGCCGCCGGCGGGCCGGCAGCGGCCCGCTGGTCTTATGTTAGCTGGGATAATACAAATAAATAAAAGTAAATAGACAAAAAAGACGTCAAAAATACTGTAAAAGGACGTCAAAAAGACCCCGAAAAGACGTCGAAAAGACGTCAAAAAAAGACGTTGAAAAGACGTCAATAAAAGACGTCATAAAAACTTTCATTCTGGCTCTTCAGAGGACGTAATTTCAACGTCTGACAGAGACGTAGAAAAGACGTCTTTTGGACGTAACTTTGCTTGGTGGGTTTTCCTCTGCTTCTAGCCAAAGTTACGGTGCGCCAGTGCTTGTGAACACTGAAAAGACTTTCACGCACTCAAAATTTGGTGCGCGCTCCATCGAGCCGCGTAAAGAGCAGGGTAAGAATATCGAAAATAGAAGGGTTTGTTTTTATTGTTTAGACCCGAATCATTTGATTGCTGACTGTAAATCATGGAAGAAGAAAAACACTGTAAAATCTAAAAGTGTAGCTAATGTGGTTCTTGAGACGGTGTCTAACAGTCATGATCAAAGTTGTTCAGATGCTTCTGTTTTCTCTCCATTTGTGTTCAAAGGCACTGTATCAGTTAATCCTGATTCTGCAACGAAAACCATTAACATCTTGCGAGACACAGGTGCTGCTCAATCTTTTATTCTTGAAAATGTGCTACCTTTTTCAAGTGAAACCTACTCTGGGACTGATGTGCTGGTTCGTGGCATAGAGCTGGGCTGTGTAAAAGTTCCTCTTCATACTGTGTGTTTGACATCTGATTTGGTTTCAGGTCCAGTTCAGTTGGGAGTGCGTGCAAAACTGCCAGTAGAAGGGGTCAGTTTAATTTTGGGGAATGACCTGGCTGGTGGTAAGGTTTTTACTCATCCAGTGGTGGCCGCACGTCCTGTTTGTGAGGTAGAACTTGGTACTAAATTTCCTTCAATATTCTGTGCGTGCGCAGTTACTCGTGCACAGGCGCGAAACAATGGTAGTGATATTGATTTATCTGACACATTTATGTCTTTTCCAGACAATCCAACGGAGTTTAAATTATCTGTTCAACCTAGTGTGTTAAAAACAGATGATGTTACTGGTCACGAGGCTTTGTCTATGGGAAGAGAACAACTTGGTAAAGCTCAAAGGTCGGATCCTTCTCTTGTGCGCTGTGTTGAAGCTGCCGAGGGCAAAGTAGAGAGCGACACAGATGACGGTGTGCAATACTTCTGGGACAGAGGCGTACTAATGCGTAAGTGGCTGTCACAAAAAGCTAAAGAAGTGGGTTTTAGTCCAGATTACCAAATAGTGTTACCTTCTGAGTATCGAAAAGCAGTTCTTAAACTTGCTCATGATCACATTCTATCTGGTCATTTGGGCATTAATAAAACGTTTACACGAGTGGCTAAGTATTTTTATTGGCCTGGTTTACGCTCTGCTGTGTCAGATTTTTGTCGTGCGTGTCACGTTTGTCAGATCGCTGGGAAACCCAATCAGAACATCCCTCCAGCTCCTTTGCAGCCTATTCCAGTGATGGGAGAGCCTTTTGAGCGCCTCATTTTAGACTGCGTCGGCCCTTTACCAAAATCAAAAAGTGGTTATCAGTATATTTTGACGTTAATGTGCACTGCAACGCGCTACCCCGAGGCAATACCGTTACGAAATCTTAAAGCGAAAACTATCGTTAAAGAGCTGATAAAGTTTTGTTCCACTTTTGGTTTACCTCGCGTTATTCAGACAGACCAGGGAACAAATTTTAAATCTAAATTGTTCGAACAAGTATTGCAAGGAATTTCAGTAAGTCATGTAGTGTCAAGTGCATACCATCCACAGTCGCAGGGCGCTCTCGAGCGATTTCATCAAACGCTCAAATCAATGATGCGTGCTCATTGTGTTGAGTCCAACTCAGACTGGGCTGAAGATCTTCCTTTACTGATGTTTGCTATCAGAGAGACTGTTCAAGAATCATTGGGTTATAGCCCTGCTGAGCTTGTTTTTGCTCATGGTTTACGCGGACCCTTAAAATTATTAAGCGAACAATTAGTTGCTGACAATAAACAGATGGTACCTGTATCTGAATATGTGAATTCAATTAGGGAACGTCTTCGTAATGCTTGTGAAAAAGCAAGGACTAATTTAGCTGAGGCTCAGGCTGAAATGAAAGTGCGTTATGATCGCAAAAGTGTGTCTCGTTCATTCCAGCCGGGTGATTCAGTTTTGGTGTTGCTGGCTACGCCAGGCTCGGCTTTACAGTCAAAGTTTTCAGGTCCATACATGGTGACCAAG